CAATGAATTCATGGTCTTGAAAAATATTTCTTTCCAGGGGGTAAATACCTGTTACCCAGAATCCATTTACAGCGTTTACTCCTGTGGTACATCGGAGGTACGCCTTTCCCAAAAAGGACGCAATATCGTAAGGCCCAACAGGTCTACTTTCATAAAGCATCCACTGTCGGATATTTTCACTGTAGTGAGTCTTTAAAGCTCCCATAAAAGTGCGGTCTAGTGGTTGCAATTTATATGTTGTGTGGGATGGTAAGGACAATATCGTGATGTAATTTTTCCTTGCCAAATCGATCACATCAATGTTTCTTGTGTGCAAAAAGTGACCGTCAAGGATAAGTAGTATGGGCGAGATCTCTGTTGGATTTGTTTTTTCAATAAAATGAGCTAACCAGTCTCTAAACAGATTTGATTGAACCCACCCAGACGGGTGAGCTCTTCCAATTGACCCAGGAGAAGCTCCTTTCATAAGGAGATCAGACATGTTTATCCTTGGGAAAATCAACATCGGAGGGACATAAGATCCTCCTGCACTCATTGAACATATGACTGTGACCAAAGATCCACGTTCTGCCGCAGTTAGAGAACATATTTGGCATTTACCTTTACTGGCAATAACTTGTGGTATTTTTGTCTGAACTACACTCAGGCCCGTTTCATCCACATTCCAAATACGGTCACCTATTTACATACCTTTCAAAGTTTTGAAGATTGACCAAAACACAAACTACTGCACAATTACTGAGTGACTGCACTTAATGGCTCACAGCGCTCCTACCGGCCAGTTGGTATAATAGTGAACTAGTTCCAGTCTTCTCCACTAGATTTCAGCACTTTGTTATTAAAATACGGAGGGGGGCCATAAAATATGCAGGGGCCATATTACCACCTTCTCCTCTATCAATTTTACTGTAGTTAACGTATTAAAGTGTAAAGAAAACTATTGAGTAGAACCTTAAGTTTAGGAACAACTTTAATTCAATTACTTATTGATATAATTGTTGATCAGAATGTAATAGTATATAAATAAAAAAAGAAAAATGAGTTAACTAAACGATTCTATGTAGAAATACCTTTGGTAAAATTTAAATGAAAGCGTGGCTTAGCATTTAAGTATATTATAATAAAAAATATTAAAAGGCAATTATAAAACAATATAAACATTGTTAAAATATTAAGAGACTTGTTTCCAGTTTTGATTCTCTCCGTATAGCTAGGTAAGATTTGGTATACAACACAAAAACACAAACACTATCAAACAGTCAACGGTTGTTACAGAATGTTGCAAAGAATTGGGCTGTATATTCATACATTGTAGGTTAACAATAAAGCATAGAGAAATAAGTGTTTTCTGTTAAAACTAAATAAATAAAAATAAACCCTTTACTTAACCTCGGTTTTGTAGTCTTAAGAGAGAATCGTTTCATCGGCCAAACAAGACAGTCGCGTCTTAGTTAGGGGTGAAGACCCACTCCGCCATCATCAAGACTTTTGTGGTTGCTGTATGTTTGTGCTGTGTGTTCTGTTCTATTAAAGTAAATACAACCTACACAATTTGTTACTAAAACTACTTGCTGCTAAATCGAGTATCGTTTACTGGTACATGCATTTTGTTGCAGTTATATTTAAATGGGTTTATTTATTGCAATCTCATGTTTTTCTGTGTTGAACTTTAATTAGTCTTATGTTAGAAATTGAGACATTTTAACCTTTATTTGGAGACTGGCCTTTCTTGCCGTGTCATATTTTAGCATACTTCTGTTATTATTTTGTCTGAAATGGATACCCAAATTTCGTCTCATGATATTTAGTTTTCGAAAACAGCTGTATTTCTACGCTAATTTGTTCACCTTTTATAAAGCAATCTGTGTTATGAATCATCATCATCCAGCCTCAAGAGTCCACTGCTGAGCATAGGCTCTTTCCAATCCCGTCTATCTTGCGCCGCTCTTATCCAGTTTTTATTGAGTCTTCTTAAATCGTCAGTCCATCTTGTAGGTGGTCGACCGACGCTTCTCTTGTCTTATGCTCTGCTGCTTTTGTTAAGGTAAGTGTTTCTGCTCCGTACGTCAAGACTGGGAGGACGCACTGATTAAATACCTTTCTCTATAGGCATGTGGGCAGCTCACTTTTAAAATTTTGTCTCAGTTTTCCAAATGCTGCCCATCCAAGGCCGATTCTTCTCTTCAGTTCATGAGTCTGGTTATCCCTGCCAATCATAATTTTATGTCCCAGGTATTTATATCTATCTACGAGTTCTATTTCTTTCCCACCAATACTGATGTTCTGGTTGGGTACCAAATTGGTTATGATTTTTTTTTCGAGATATTTATATTTAAACCTACATTTTCCTTAGCCACAACTAGTTCCTGTACCATCTCTCTTGCCATACCTAGATCTTCAGCTATTATAAGTATATCATCGGCGAAACGTAAGTTGTTTAGATATTCTCCATCTATTTTTATTCCCTTTGTTATCCAGTCCAAATTCTTAAAAGTATGTTCTAGCACCGTATTAAAAAGTTAAGGTGACATTGGGTCGAAATTCTGTCGACATTCGGTCTCGAAAATAGACAAAAATATTTTATTAGTTTTAAAACATTCAAATGATTATTTGAACCTCACTGTTACAGAAATAAATGAATTACTTAAGTTTTGCGAATTTCACACTGAGGAAGGATGAACTGATTCAAAACAAAATGATGAACAAAAGGCTAAAAATCAAACATGAGGTGTTAAATGATGCCCAACCTTCCACTTCAAAACAACCTACAACATTAGAACTTGTTGAATCTATATCATCGATAGTGCAACCTCATTCATCAACTTCTACCTCGTCTAGTATAATAAAAAAAACCTTAAACTATAACCGGTTTTTTCCAAAGACCTCTAGCTATCAGCAAACAAAAAGAAATAGACCAACAATTAATTGTTATGATTATGATCTCAAAGGTAGCCAACACAAAATTACCCACACAAAAAGAAAACGAAGAGGAAAATATTGAACAACCAATTCAAAATATACCGTATAGGGAAGATCTACTTTAAAATTTATGGAAAGATTTTGACAAGGAAGTTCAACAGCACCAACAACCAAGCAATCCAACAGCGTCAGCCATTGTTGAGGTAGACATATATTTAGAAGAGATCATTTTACCGAGAAAAGATAGCTTCGGTATATCCCAGGTTCCTCTATTGTGGTGGCACTAAAGAAAGCACATTTATCCAAAATTGTACCAAACTATGAAGACTAGGCTTTGTATTATGGCTACATTTGTCCCGTGTGACAGGATATTTTCAAAGGCCGGTCAGATAGTCAACGAAAAGCGAGAGAGATTAAAGATGAATAAAATATCTCAAGTGATTTTTTTAAGTTATAACTTAAACAATAACGAATAAGTAGGTGTATATGTTTTTACTTTAAAATTTTTGTTTTGTTGCGTTAATCTAGATTTAGATTTTTTTATGTAGGTATCTTTTATTCTTTCTTTATCGTTTAATATCTCTCCACTGTTTTTTTAAGTTACCTATAATTATTTAAACTATAACAAATCTAAACAATATTTAAACATAATTTAAACAATAATAATTTTAATTTAAAATTTTTTGTTTTTTGTTTTGTTGTTTGGAGCTGGATTTAAAATTTTATTTATTTGTTTTTTTACAATACAGTTTTTTTCTTTATCAATCATTTTATCTGCTTAAACAGAAATATATTTAAATTTATTTAAGATTTAAAATTATCTGTAGACACTGTAAAAATATATAAAACGTGGCAACCAGGTAAAATACAAAATAGTCAACGCAGTTGAAAGACACTGCCGTTTGGGTGAGATTCGAAAACTTTAAGGCAAATCTTTAGTGTTGTCTCTTGTATCAAATCGCACTACTGCGGTGAATTGCATTGTTCGGGCCGAAAACACTCGGGCGTTACGACACTGTTACTGTGTCATGATACTTTATTGTTGCGGTGTCAATACACATGACGCACCGTAAAGTATCAGCACAAAAGTGTCATACCACACCGTGTTACACATGACTAGTTAGAAGATGGAGGGAAGTTGGCAGGAATCGACAGGAGTGACTTCTTTGTGAGCAGGCCAAGATCCACTACGGATTGTCGAGCCACTTATGATGATAATTATGCTTAACAAGTCTGTAATTAGTGCGATTTCAAATAATTTAATTTGTTTAATATTTCAACGCCACTGCATGGGTCTGATCATAGATATTATATTATCTGCGCGATTAACTATTTTGTAGAAGGACTCGCCATTCAATTTGAAATAAACTGTATGTATATATAATTTATTTATTAATCTTACTTTTTAAATAGAGTTTCAATAGTTATGTTCAAAGCGAAAGGAAGACACCAACAAGTTCTAGATTGAAAAAAGACATTGTCCTCACTTTCTGATTATCTTAATTTGAATATAGAGATGCATAACGCAACAACAATTATTTAAAGAAAAATAACAAATATGTAACGTTTATAACATTAAAATGTTTTCATCCTTGCATTTCGCTGCAAGTGTCCGTCATATCACAGATATCAAAAGATAGAAAAGGTAAGTTGACCGGTATAATAGTTGTAATGACGAAGAAATTAGTACAAAGATATACAAAAATTAAATTTTTTGTGTAGTAGTTAGGTTTGTAATTGTACAAATTATATAATTATTACACTGCTTGTGTTGACGTCAATTCTGATACTCTTTAATAGATACCGAGTAATATTGCAATCATTTCCGACAGACAGAAAATTAATTTTTTAAGTTAACCTCGTATGGTAATAAGCTATTTTAATTTCTGGTATTATGCGGTAGGTACTCAACTAAATGTCAAGTTCAGGAAGACATATCAAAAATTATTTCTTCATACATTGATTGTTCTTCGTCGATTTTGGGTGTATACAAGGTTAACACACTAACTATAAAATGCAGGAGATTATTTCAAATTCTATCAGTTGATTTATCAGCAGTAATCAAATTAAATCTAATAAACATGAACTCCTTGGTAAGTAGTTTTAAAAATCGTAGTAAGAAACAAAATCATAATTTCCTGCAATTTGTTACTTTTGTAATTTTTAGCATACTTTAAATTTTTTCGTTTTATTTTTCTACTAGTCATTTTTATGCAACTCACTATTTTCTCTTGTTACTTTAAATTTCATTTTACATAGTTTCTTTTAATTAATTAATTTAACATTACCTTAAATTTCTCTGTTCTTTTTGTTTTGTTCCAATATTTCACTGCAAACTTCTTAAAATAAATCATATTTCGTTTACTATTCACGTTTTATATAATTTACGTTATTTTCACCTCAATATCTACGTTAGGTAAATAGATCTGAATTAAATAGTATCATCAGTTGTATCTTAAAGCTTCCATTTTAATTTTTTTTACAGATTCGTTGTATTAATTTTACTTGTATCTACTCTATTTTTGCCAGTGAGTGTATATTATTATAATTACAATGATTATTTCCATAAAAACCTCTTCAACAAGCGAATAAAAATTAAATTCTACGCCATTTTCTTTAATATAACATATGGTTCTTTCTTTCACCTCTTTTATTCCTCCTCTCTAACTTGTTCTCACCCTACCTCGTTTTTTTGCCCCTGGTTGCCATTTTATATTTTGCTTGGTATTTGTTTTTTCATACAAATTGGTGAACAAGCATCAATTGCTTCAATTTCATTGATCTTACAAGCCCTGTTGTTACTTTTGTCTTAGTTTTTATCTTTGTTATGGGTTAACTGTTTAATACTTTGACGACTTATATTAATTCTACTTTTCATTTGATTCAATAGCTTCGTCAATAGAACACTATCGTAGGCAATCCTTAAATCGACAAACAATATACGAATTTTTTGATTTCTTGCCACCCTTGTCATTATTTGGGTAATTAAAAGAATACAGTAACAGTGGATCGCCCTGTAGAAAATCCTACTTATTTCAGAACTTAAATATTCTTTCTCTATTTGATTCTGCAAAACAGCTATCCCTTGGTAATTTTCGCAATTGTCACCTTTTTATGTATAGTATCTATTGAGTTATAATGTTTTCATTCTTGAAATAGTTGCCGAAGATATTTGTCTCATTTGCTTGTTCTTTACTTAAACAGTTCTCTGGGTATATTCTTTGATATGAGTAATTTATTCCTCTTCAGATGTATATATACAGTTTTAATTTCTTCTGTTGTTAATCCTATTCTAATGTTATATTTACTACTTTTTCTAATCGTTGTTGTTTTATTATTACAGAGATACGTATTTTATTACTAAATATCTAATTTAAAAATATTGTAGGTAATTGTAGCCATTTTCTCCTGCTTGGCTTTGGCAAATGCAGGCACCATCGTTCAAGGACCAAGCGCTAAATCTACAGTTGTAGGTGCTGATGGCAGTGTTATTTCTGCTGTAGCCCCTGGGGGACAGATCATCGCAGAAGAACATCCTGGAGTAGTTGCCCACAGTGCCCCATTAGTTGCTGCTTATTCTCACCCAGTAGTAGCCGCTCATGCTTCCCCAATAGTAGCTGCTTACTCCGCACCACTTGTAAATCCACATGCTGCCTCAGTAGTTTCTGTACACTCTGCTCCCATTGTAGCGGCCCACGCAGCCCCAGTGGTTTCAGCTTATTCACATCCAGTAGTTGCTGCTCCACTCGTAGCTGCCCATTCTGCTCCAGTTGTTGCCCATGGAGTAGTTAACCATAGGGAAGTTGATACAGTAGTAGCTGGACCATCCGGAACTATTACAACTAGCAAACTTGTTGCATCTCCAGCTGTAGTTCCTGCATATGGAGTAGTTGGTCATGGAGTTCATGGACAATATTATTAATTTTAATTGTATAAGTTATTGAAAAATAAACAATTGTTTTAGATTGATATTATTTTATGATTTAATAAGAAACAATGCTAAAGAATTGTCTGAAAAATGTGTCTAACTGAAAAATTTTCTTGTCAAAAATCAAGGCTTTAGATATAATTTGTAAGACATTGTTATATCCTGAAATGTCAATTAATATTTCAAATTTCTTTATTCTTTATATCCTTGTACAAGAATCAATGCAATTACTTAAAAATAAATAAGAAACTTTTACCACCAAGACTAACGAATATAGGTTAGAGTAGGCCGAAAAAACAACTTTTTTTTATTTCGAAGTTGTAATAGCACGGATAAGTTGCATATACAAACAAAAGCTGTAATAGACAAACACAAGAAAAAAAATTATCAAAATCAGTTAACACAATAATTCTTAACCTGTAGGGCACGCCCCCTAGAGGGCGCGCTTTTACTAGTAGGGGTGGCGTGAGAATATAAAACAACACCAACTACATTGACTAATTTACTAAAATCTAAGCAAAACAACATTCTAACAAAATGAAAAATAAAATGCACATGAACACTGGATAAAGAGGTACAATTATAAAGAGCGCTGAATACTAAATTATTAATAACTTCCTTGGGCCCGTTTTGCAGAGCAAAGTTTAACGAAACAGGGTGCAATATTATAAATAGACGCTCTCAGTTCTTTTTTTATATTTAGCTGCGATCTATATTTGGTCTTTAAAGACCCACTGCGGAAAATCCTGTTTCGCAAAGATAAGATATTAAAAACCATAATACTTTACCAATAATAGTTTATGAAACGCTTTGGTTTTTAGCACAGAGATCTCATCATTTACCACTGATCAAAATTTAAAAAGGGATTTATTGTTATACTGTCGGTTGATTTCGGCATCTGCCGTAAAGTCTATAAGGGCTTCTTCTTCGACAGTAGAGAGCTCTTCATGTGTAATTTAAAATGGATTCAAGGTTCAAGGTCACTTCATCGATAAAGGGAGATGCCAATAATCAGTTTTATGCAAGTGCCCGAAGCGTAAACATAAGGCTGTTTTATTGGTGCACCAAAATTTTTTCTCTGTTATTTACCGACAAAATGTCTCGAAATTTGGACATGTTATTCAAAACTATGTTGCCTTTAAAATGATGGTTTTACTTTTTTTATTTTTTTGAATTTTCTGTTGAAAAATTGGATTATACTGTTTAACGTTCTATTATAATCAAACTTTTCACGCCCATCAGTTGACAGTTTTTTTTTCTGTAATCGTTGTTTCTTTTTTCACCTTTCTGTGTCCAGTAATAATCGACAAAAGCGTATTCACGTAACTTTGAAGAAAATTGCCAAAAAATACTGAAATCTAATAGTGAAACGTGTTCCTCATCATTGTCGCTTAGCTTGATCGTTATCGCATTAGTGACGTCAAATCTCATGAACGTACGGTAGGGTCAGTTAATTCGCTTGAATCAGAATCCATTTTAGTTCTTTCATTCTTGTATTTTCTTTATCAACTTGCTTAGTTTTTACAGTTTACAGTATTCTTATTTATTTTGAAAACATTGAAATTATTTAGTTTACGGGTATGTTTAAGTAATATATTATTAGTTTAGTGGTATAAGTTAAAAGTTCTTTAGTTTACGCGTATATATATATATATATATATATATATATATATATATATATATATATTATATATATATATATATATATATATATATATATACAGGGTGGTCCTTAAGTAATTGTACAAAAAGAAACTGTAGATTCTACACTTTAAAATATTACGATTTAAGTAAAGTTGCTTTAATAAAATGTTGATATTAAGAAAGATACAGGGTGTTAAAGTAGAAATTTAAAATTTTATTTTTCACTATAACTTTCGTGTTTGTCAACATTTATATATAAAAATTTACAACTTTGTACTATTAAATATCAGAAATAATAATTTGATGTACACTTTGATGCAGCTGATAGAGGGCGCCACATATGCCACATACGTGGCATATATTTGCACTTAACTTTTTTGCTCTTCAAGATTTTCGTATTTTTAATAAAAAATAATAAAGATACATTATTTTAACAAAAAAAAGGTATACTTGTTAATATCTTCAAAACTCAACAGTTTTCGAGATAATCGCATTTTAGAAATCAACTACATAATTCTGATTTATCGCAATTACCCCAGAAACGAAAGAAAATTAAAGAAAAACATCAATACTTCTGAATTTTGGTATAAAATACCTTTAATGAAGTTAATGGTTAACGAATTATTAAATAAAATAATTATTTCAGCTGGATAAAATAATAGGATTTGATAAATAACAGAATAATTGGATTTTACATCAAACATTTTACGTTTTGTATTAAATTAAAGTCATAATCAAAACATTTTATTTACAAACCAAATTAAGAAATAGTTAAACAAAATAAGTAGTTTTTGTCAAAGTAAGTGTTCGATATGTCCACCATTTTCTTTAATTCATTTGTAAATACATTCCATAAAATATCGTCTCATATTAAATAGCATATTGGTTCCAAAGAAACTGCTGCAGTATTTATTATAAGTGTTATAAGTTTAATAATAACTAATTTTTAGATATTTTGATGAATTAAATAATTATATTAATACCACGAACAATCCAACGTTCAGAAAAGTTGTATTTAAATACTGTCTCACTCCGCTTTCTCTGTAATGTAATGGTGTACCATCTTGTAGAAACCACATATTTCGCCTTAAGTTTGATGACAATTCTTCCAATAAATTAATAAAATCATTTTTAAAAAAATGGTAATAAATCTCGACATTTAAATTGCAAGGTAATTCGCATATCCGTAAAAAATAATTACCAATGGTTCCAAACCATAGGACATGCATTTTAAATATGATTTTTGAATGATATTTTACTGATATGAGAATTACCTTGCAATTTAAATGGTAAGATTTATTTACATTTTTTATAAAATGATTCTATTAATTTATTGGAAGAATTGTCATCAAACTTAAGGCTAAATATTTGGTTTATACAAGATGGCACACCAATACATTACAGAGAAAGGGGTGTGAGAACAGTATTTAAAAACAACTTTCCTGAACGTTGGATTGTTCGTGATAGTCATATTCCTCGGTCATGTGGTAAGATATTAATATAATTAGTTAATTCATAAAAATCCCAAAATAATACCTATTATTATACTTATAATAAGTACTGCAGCAGTTTCTTTAGAACCAATGTGCTATTTAATATGAGACGATATTTATGGAATGTATTTACAAATGAATTAAAGAATATGGTGGACATATCGAACACTTACTTTGACAAAAAGTTTAATGTTATTTAGTTTAACTATTTCTTAATTTGGTTTGTAAATAAAATGTTTTGATTATGTCTTTAATTTAATACAAAACGTAAAATGTTTGATGTAAAATCCAATTATTCTGCTATTTTATCAAATTCGATTAATAATTATCCTACTGATATATTTATTTTATTTAATATTTCATTAAATACTAACTTTATTAAAGGTATTTTATAACAAAATTGAGAAGTGTTGATGTTTTTATCTATTTTTCTTTCATTGCCTGGAGTAATTGCGGTAAATCAGAATTATGCAGTTGATTTGTAAAATGCGATTATCTCGAAAACTGTTGAGTTTTGAAGTTATTAACAAGTATACCTTTTTTTGTTAAAATAATGTATCTTTAATATTTTTTATAAAAAAATACCGGTGACTTGAAGAACATAAAAGTTAAGTGCAAATGTATGCCACGTATGTAGCATATGTGGCGCCCTCTATTAGCTATATCAAAGTATACATTAAATTATAATTTCTGATATTTAATAGTACCCAGTTGTAAATTTTTATACATAAATGTTTACAAACATAAAAGTTATAGCGAAAAATAAAATTTTAAATTTCCACTTTAACACCCTGTATCTTTTTAAATATCAACATTTTATTAAGGCAAGTTGACTTTAATCGTAATATTTTAAAGTGTAGAATCTGCGGTTTTTTTTTGTACAATTACTTAAGGACCACCTTGTATATATATATATATATATATATATATAGAGTGTGTATAACGACGCTAAGAATTAATTCTTCTTCTTTCGAATTCTTCGACGAAGATTAATTCTTCTTTTCTATTTGTAGTTTTTGTAGGTTGTAAATTTTAGACTTTTTGTTGTGTTTGTATTTGAAAAACTACCCTGTTGTTGTAATGTTTTTATTCAAAATTTTAAATGTATTTTTTAATATTTTTAACATGTTTGTGACAGTGTTTTTTACAACTAGGACCAACTGAACATTTTCAATGTAGGTTTTTAAATGTTGATTTCCACCACTGTACTATAATAGGTTTTCCATTTAGGTGCTGATGAAGGTGACAACATATCACCGAAAATTTCACATATAGAATAAAGTTCTACACCAAGCTGGCTTATACCATCTCTAGCTGATCCTTGTTTTGACGCTTTCCCGAAAGTTACCCTCCAAAGAATTATATATATATATATATATATATATATATATATATATATATATATATATATATATATGTATATATATGTATATATATATATATATATATATATATATATGTATGTATATATTGTTATATGTAAAATCGAGAAAAATATTGGTTTGCTTAAAATATTTCAAAGTTCAAAAAATTAAAACAATTCAGATAAGTCGAATAATAAACTACAAACATTTCGAAGAATAAAAGTCTTTTATCTTTGGATTACCTATATTGAACAAAACGTAAGATATGCATAAATTATTTTCTTTGTTAAAATATTTGAGTGACGTAAGGAGCTTAAGTGAAATCTTAGACAATGGAAGAGGGTTTTCCAAATAAATTTATGCAGTAATTAGGACAATAGAATAGATTTTAGAAAGACATGTTTTTATTAGTTTATAAGAATTGGTAGAAAAAGATTAGTTTGTAAATAAGTTTTAGGAAATTTTATAATTGTAGGTAAAAATTTGTTTGTGT